AACACTATTACAAATTTACTCTTCTTTTATGTGACGTGTCCATTCAGGATGTGTGTGGTCATGGCTCTCCACAACTTCCAGTCCTTTGTAGCTCTTAGCAATGTTTGTCTTCTTGTTATCTCTTCTAATTCATGTTATGTAGACCATTTACACAAGCCAGATTGTTCAGTTTTCTTCTGTCTCTCTTGTCTCTGTGAGTGTCAAATTTTCTATACCTTCTTTCCTTATTATGTGTCCTAGAAATTTCTGATTCTAACTATGTGTTCTTTTCTTTCCATTTTCCCTAAAACGTCGATGTTGCTCAAATATTTAGTATTCACAGCCTCCTTCGATAGAACCAGATTTCTGATGTTTCAAGTCTCCTCTTCATGCAGCAGATTATCCAAAATTCTCTGCTGTATTAGTGACCGATATTACATAGTAATTCGCTATTATTTCGTTTGTTTTTAACATAATTTTCCTGTTTCTTAATACTTTGTTTAGCTTTTGAAAGACATCTTTTGCTATTGTAATGCGCCTTCGGATCTCGGTACCGTATTTTCCATCCTTTGTTAAATAATTATTTTTTTTTACCTGCTTGATTTTAGTGTCTCCAATTCGGATTTTGCCATTTAGGTACCGAAAAGAATTTTAGGTATAACTAATTTGTATAAATCACTAGATCCTATCTTTAAATATTAATATTACACTGACAATTATTCATTTACAAACCTGTAAATAAGCTTCGTCTACTTACATCAACATTAACGCACATTAATAATGATATATCAACACTAACATACATTAACAGTGATATATCAACACTAACACGCATTATCAGTGCTATATCAACGCTAATACATATTAACAATGATATATCATCAGTAACACACATTAACAGTGATATATCAACACTAATACATATTAACAGTAATATTTGTTAAAAAAAAGACAGAGAGAGGGACAAACTCACCGTCGCCTCTCTCTGTCTTTTTTACAAATACTTTCATGGTAACTGCTCCGATGAGCTTCTTTCGCTGGTTCCCAGACTTCATGAATTCAAGCATCCTACGAGGCTGGCATCACGCTTTCACCTTTTCACTTTTGAAGCTCCTAAATGTAGGCGTCTCCAATAGCTTCATATTTCGCACCTCTCGCCTGTGTAACTCCCTATTCCTGTTTCCCTGAGAGCTATAATCTCCAACTATTCAAGTGTAATATCAATGGACATCTCTAGTTGCCTTGATCTATCCACTATCCTTCTCCTCATCCTTTCCTCTATCACTCCTATCTGCTTTCGCTCCAAATTTTCTGTAACCCCTTGCGTACTAGTGGCTTCCCGCCTTGCTTGGGGTGAATTGATTAAAAGAAATATCAACAGTAATAGATATTAGCAGTGATATATCAATACTAATACACATTAACAGTAATATATAAACACTAATACACATTAACAGCGATATATATTAGCACTAACATACATTAACAGTTATGAAGAAAAATATACAGAAAAAAACAAACAAAATATGCAATTATGCTGTATTAATGTTAATATAAAGTCAACGTCGGACGTTTCGGTCTATTTTAGACCATCATCAGGACATATTCATAAAACATAATTAACATTAGAACATATAAAATTCAACATGAAAAGACGATGGATATAAGAGCACAACTAATCCAAACAGATAACTTTATATTAACATTAATACAGGATAATTGCATATTAAGATTTTTGTTTGTTTTTTTCTGTATATTTTTCTTCATACTGTCGGATCTACATCCATATATTTGCATACATTAACAGTTATATAACAATACTAATACACAATAACATTGATATTTTTCTTCCGTTTTGTGGAAACTATATCTATTCTTTATTCTTTTAACCATTTGTCCTAAACTTTCAAGACGAACATGTCTAAATATTGCATATTATATATCTATATATTATATATGAAATTCATTTTTATAGGTATATATCATTTTTCTTTCCTTTCTATAGCAAATTAATTTGCAGTGTAATACTATAGCATAATACTAAAAAATTGCAATATACTTCTATCGTACAGTAATTCGCAGTATATTTCGATAGGAAAATAAGTTACAATGCAATACTATAATGAAATATTTTGTAAGTATATTTATGTAGTAAAATAATATGCAATGTATTTTTACAGCAAAATAATTTGCTATGCAGCACTATAGTAAAATAATTTTCAATTAGTTTTTATAGAATTGTCAAGCGTTTTAATTACCGCTATATGCTTTTACAATTACCTACTTCCCAGTATATGTAACTGCAATCTCCCCCTCCTCCTCTTCTTCTTCACCTCCTCTTCCTCCTCCTCTTCTTCTCCACCTCCTTTTCCTCCTCCTTCTTCTTCTTCACCTCCTCCCCCTTCTTCTTCTTCTTCTTCTTCTTCTTCTTCTTCTTCTTCTTCTCCCCCTCTTCTTCTTCTTCCTCTTCTTCCTCTTCTTCTTCTTCTTCTTCTTCCGAGTCCCATCAGGACGTTGGTGATCGTGACCCGCCATAATTTCCAATCCATTCTAGCTCATACTCGTTTCTCTTTTTGTTATCTTTCCTAAACCTTGTTCTTCCATCTATTTGCACAAGCTCGCTCGGTAGGTTGTTTTCCTCTGTCCCTCTTGCTTTCAATGTGTCCTGTGAGTGTCAAATTTTCTAATCCCTCTTTCCTCATTATGTGCCCTGGAAATGTCAGTTGTCCCTTATGCTAAGTATAAGTGTCCTTTTTGCGTTTTTTTTTTCTCTAAATCTTGGTCGTTGTGTTCGGTCCATGATATTCTCAGTATCCTTCTGTAGAACCATATTTCTGTTCCTTCAAGTCTCTTCTTCATCTGTGAGAAGATTGTCCAACATTCACTGCCATATAGGGAAACCGATCAAAGGTTACAAATACTTAATGTAGTATCAAGGGTTAAATAATAACATCTGTAACAACAACAATAATAACGCTAGCAGTCGCAACACCAGCAAACATTATTATTATTATTATTAATAGTCCGTATTTATATGTAGCGTATATGGATAAACTTAAGTGTCCAGCTGTGTATTGATTTTCTAAGCGTAGTTTTGATGTGGTACAAGGCCGAAAGTATGAGACACCCAGTGAGGATCGAATTTACTACTCATTTGTAAATGTTCTAGTGAGACAAGTTTTCTAACCATTACATCGCAACTAAGTACAACTGCACACACACACACACACACACACACACACACACACACACACACACACACACACACACACACATACATATTATATATATATATATACGTACAGTCATTCGTCAATAAATATACTATCCAACTTTATTTATCTTTATATCTATAATTTTCAGATATATTTAGAGAATGGAGCATAGTAAGACTAAAAAGCATAGCATTCATTAGTAAGTCTAAAAAGAAAACTTTTTAAGCTTTTATATCGATTTGCCGATTGTTCATCGTCTCTTTTCAGAACATGTTTTTTTTTTTTGTTTTTTATATAACGTACTGTTGATATACTTGCATATTTGTCGGATTATTTTTCTGTTGTGGTGAATTGCAAACATTATCTTTGAGGAACTAAAGAAGTTATTCTTTGGGAAACTGACGTTATTTTTTTTCCTGTCAAAACAACTTCCTTAGAAATGTAAACAAACACAGGCACAGACGGAATGTTTATAAACAAAACAAACAAACAAACATGGCGCTGCTATGAAAATTCGCACGCTTATTTAGAAAGCATCATAAATGTATGCAGGCATACATATATTAATAAAAACCTATGATTACACTTTCTGTCCAAATGCATTTTCATCTTGAATCTTAATAGTTCTTTCATGCTGCAACCATTTGTATACGTTCACCCGTGTTGAAAGAAGGGTAACAAAATAAAAATTAAATAAATATCCTTGTCTTTGGCCTTTAATCAAATATGTATTACGGATTACTTCCAAAATACAAGCTTATAAATGGGTAAGCATTATAATGTATATGGCCTGAAGACTGCGTTTAAGCATGAAACAGACTGTCATCGGTGGGTGTTGACCTCAATGTCCACTTCATATATATATATATATATATACACTTTAAAAATATCTGACCTCCTAATTTGTAAAGTTAAAAGCTCTACATGTTAGTTTTACTTTTGTTTTTGCTTTAACATGTTTATTGAGCAATCTTTAATTCCACTGTCTCCTGGTTGGATTTAACTTTGACCATTAATCTTATATATATATATATATATATATATGTGTGTGTGTGTGTGTGTGTGTGTGTGTAATGAAAGTGTCTATCGTTCGAGTCACACACTTCCCCGATCTTTTGAACATGAATAGAAGTTTTTCCTTTGTTTTCTGTTTAGGATTGGGTTTCTTTCAAGTTTTCTCATTCTCTCTCACTTCCATTCGTACGTCTTAGTGACGTCTTTCTTGGAGTGAAATGATTAAAAAAAAATACATGCACCCATATGTGCGTCCGTGTGTTTTTTTTGCGTGCTAGTGTAGGCGAACTTTGGTCGATTTAGACGTATGAAGTCCCCAAATGTCAGTTTCAGTATTGAAGCCGCTAGATTCTCCACAAATATAATATCAGTACAGTGGAAAAAACAATTGTATATGCACAACCACGAATACTTCAAAGAAACATGAATATTGCTTGAATATTCCTTCGCCGATTCCAGTTCCTGCGCTAATAACCATTACACTATCTGAACACACATACACATATAGATACATACACGCACAGACACACATACATACACGCACAGACAGACATACATACACACATAGATACATACACGCACAGACACACACACACACACAGATACATACACGCACAGACACACACACATACACACACAGACACACATACATACACACATAGATACATACACGCACAGACACACACACATACATACAATCATACGCAACATGACGCAATTCATTCCTTCATTCATCTTCCGACAGGACCTTCATCAAGTGCCTTGAGGAGGTAGTGGCTGCTTGAAGACCCTATGATTACCATGTCAAGACATCTTAGATCTGGTCACCCAACATCCCAGAGTGCAATTCCCCTCTCCAAGTTCTCCACTGCCTTAACCATGTATTGAACTCACATCTTTGGGTCTTGTTATCCACTGTGCTATGTGTCCTTGAGGATATCTGTGTATGAATTTCTGAGTATTATAAACCTAATGTCTTCAGCAACCATTTTTTACCAGTGCTCATATTGCAATTTTTGCTGTTGTCATTGCACAGAAATGAATATAATATGGGAACCAGTAATAAGGAGTGCGAGAGAAAAGCGATAATAACAACAAAATTTGGTAAAATTTGGTAAAAACATCCCGGTTAAGGCAGTGGAGAACTTAGAGAGGGGAATTAACAGGAGATAACTGATAACTGACATCCATTAAACATGGCACGTGGAACTAGAACAGTCTACCCCAGTGAGCGAAATAAAGGGTTCAGTTCGATATTCCAACCACCTGAAGTAGGTCGCAGCGTACAACGGCCGAAACGTTGTAATAAATATGGCGACAAAGATGAGGACAATAGTCTGAATAATGTAAATAGTGTATATAATACCTCATCTCAGAAATATAGACAGATAGTGAAAGGCCGAAACGTTGTAATAAATATGGCGACAAAGATGAGGACAATAGTTCGAATAATGTAAATAGTGTATATAATACCTCATCTCAGAAATATAGACAGATACTGAAAGGCCGAAACGTTGTAATAAATATGGCGACAAAGATGAGGACAATAGTTTGAATAATGTAAATAGTGTATATAATACCTCATCTCAGAAATATAGACAGATACTGAAAGGCCGAAACGTTGTAATAAATATGGCGACAAAGATGAGGACAATAGTTTGAATAATGTAAATAGTGTATATAATACCTCATCTCAGAAATATAGACAGATAGTGAAAGGCCGAAACGTTGTAATAAATATGGCGACAAAGTTGAGGACAATAGTTCGAATAATGTAAATAGTGTATATAATACCTCATCTCAGAAATATAGACAGATACTGAAAGGCCGAAACGTTGTAATAAATATGGCGACAAAGTTGAGGACAATAGTTTGAATAATGTAAATAGTGTATATAATACCTCATCTCAGAAATATAGACAGATAGTGAAAGACCGAAACGTTGTAATAAATATGGCGACAAAGTTGAGGACAATAGTTTGAATAATGTAAATAGTGTATATAATACCTCATCTCAGAAATATAGACAGATAGTGAAAGGCCGAAACGTTGTAATAAATATGGCGACAAAGATGAGGACAATAGTTTGAATAATGTAAATAATGTACATAATACCTCATCTCAGAAATATAGACCAGATACTGAAAGGCCGAAAACGTTGTAATAAATATGGCGACAAAGTTGAGGACAATAGTTTGAATAATGTAAATAGTGTATATAATACCTCATCTCAGAAATATAGACAGATAGTGAAAGGCCGAAACGTTGTAATAAATATGGTGACAAAGATGAGGACAATAGTTTGAATAATGTAAATAATGTACATAATACCTCATCTCAGAAATATAGACAGATAGTGAAAGGCCGAAACGTTGTAATAAATATGGCGACAAAGTTGAGGACAATAGTTTGAATAATGTAAATAGTGTATATAATACCTCATCTCAGAAATATAGACAGATACTGAAAGGCCGAAACGTTGTAATAAATATGGCGACAAAGTTGAGGACAATAGTTTGAATAATGTAAATAGTGTATATAATACCTCATCTCAGAAATATAGACAGATACTGAAAGGCCGAAACGTTGTAATAAATATGGCGACAAAGTTGAGGACAATAGTTTGAATAATGTAAATAGTGTATATAATACCTCATCTCAGAAATATAGACAGATACTGAAAGGCCGAAACGTTGTAATAAATATGGCAACAAAGTTGAGGACAATAGTCTGAATAATGTAAATAGTGTATATAATACCTCATCTCAGAAATATAGACAGATACTGAAAGACCGAAACGTTGTAATAAATATGGCGACAAAGTTGAGGACAATAGTTTGAATAATGTAAATAGTGTATATAATACCTCATCTCAGAAATATAGACAGATAGTGAAAGGCCGAAACGTTGTAATAAATATGGCGACAAAGTTGAGGACAATAGTCTGAATAATGTAAATAGTGTATATAATACCTCATCTCAGAAATATAGACAGATACATTCACTACTCATGTTATAACGTTTAAGATGAAAATAAATCTTGAAGTATAATTTGAAAATAATCAGAAAAAGTAACACCAGGAATGTGTAAATGTTTTCCAATTGTTAAATAAAAATATTTTTAGCTTTAAGCTGCAATATATGTGCCAAGTGTATCTTCAGTGACAGCACTTATCATAAAAAAAAAGCTGATTTTCGTAGTGCAGTATCCATAATGCTGTGGTTGATGGATATTATTCTGATATATAAGTTCATTTTTTTTCTTGCTTTTATGTACTCGGATTACTCCACT